GGGCAAGGCATGGATGTTCTTTCTCTCTCTGTACTATCTGCCGTCACTGTGGGAGCGACGTTGGCCCACCTAATAGGGTGCCCCTGAAAGAGAGGCCAACAAAATCGCCCTATATATGCCTGAATTGACGGATGTTAACACAGGTGGGATTTGGAAAAAAATATTAATATAAATTTAACTGTAAAATGTTAAGTTTGATGTTAATATTAAATAATTTAAACTTCAGCTGTTTTGAGTATCTAGTATATTTTACGTATAAGCAATTATGCCACATTATTTATTATGCAATATTTAGAATGAATGCAGTAATTTGTGTTTGAAACTGTGCATTCCTGCAACTGATGTGCAATTTCTTTTCCTGAAAATGGATGAATTAATGGCTAGAATGCATTTGAAATTGTAGCGATTTCAAATGTCTATTCAGTGTGAATATTTCGGTAAACATACGAGTTGCAAAAAAATATATATTTTAAATAAATACAAATGCTGTACAATTAAGAAACTCTGGAATAGAAATGTAGGTAGCTAATTTGTATGGTTACTTTTTGAAACTTATTTTAGAATAAGTTCAGAAAAATCAAAATAAATAGCCTCATTTTATTGAGCAATTGATTTAAAATTGTTTTAATAGTATTATGTGAATTTATAATTGTTTTGTTTGAATATTATATTTTCTTCACACTTTTGCTGAAATATTTTGCACTGAAAGTTATTTAAGTTAATTATTTATTCAACTTTGTATTTTTGTACTTTTGTACTATGAAATTCATACTATTAATAGATACTGATATCTAGAAATATGTTTTTAAGTAACAAATTCATGTAACGTTTCATTAAATTATTCAAATAAAACAATTCGTTATTCACATGTTATTTGAATGTTACATTTGATATTTAGAGCATAAATTATTTGTAAAATACTAAAATTTTGCTTGGCTTAAAGTTTAATAAGAATTCTCTAATGAAAAGGTTGAAGAATCTTAATAAAGAAATAAAAGCTTATCAATATCTTAAATCGCGATTCAGTTAATTTTAAGGTAAATAAAAATTTTTTTTAAAATATTACGCATCTGAAATTGCGTAAAAATAAAATGTACGAAGATTTTAAAATTCAAAATCGGATAATTTAAGAATTTTTTTTTTATTTGTTTCGTAGTTTAAAAAGCAAGACAGTTAAAAATTTAACTAAAGAATTCAAAATTAATATTCTTTAAAATTTTGTAAATAGTTACTTGGAAATTTAGTGTAAATACATTGCATAACCGTAAGATTTCAAAGCGTATAAAATTGTTTCACTTTTATTCTCAATCACTTCACTTGTATACTCAAAACAAATTAATTCTAATGAGTTTTGGTATTTCTAAAGTAGGTGGATTTGAATTTTATAAAACCTATCTTAATCTCGAATATTTTTAAACACAGTTTAAGTATAAATATATAAGTGGCCACCACCACATATTTAGGATAAAATTTCTTAGCAATTCCATTTTTTGCACTCTAAGAAGATCTAGTCTTGTGTCTTTCATCTCGCAAGTGGAAATAAAATTTAACTAAAACTTGTTATTAAACTTAAAATCCATATCTTTTGTTAAATATCCTTTGTCATTTCTCAAATTTTTCAATATTCTGTTTCAATCTTAATTAGAATTTTTGAAATATCTTCATGTAATGAACAATGTGATTTTTTTTATTCTATACCAATTAAAGTGTCAAATTGATTTGTTAAGAATGATAGAGTAAATACGTGATTGTGTTAACGTCAAAGTATTCATATATATATTGTAATTCTTAAAATAAAGTGTTAGTCTTATAGATTTTGATTTACATTCGTTAAAATTGTAAAACAAAATTGTAAAATAAAATTGTAATAAAATACTGTGAGTATTGAAAATTGTTTTCTTTTACATTGATTTTTTTAAAATAAAATTTTAACACAGAAATCTATCACTAAGTCAATAAGTTGAAATCACTATATTGGAAGTTATTTAACACTAGAATGACAGGCATTTTTACCTACCTATTTCTACCATTGTGATAATTTTTGATTGCAAAAACAATGCGCATAAATATTTTTAAAATTCAAATATTCTAAAAATTTAGGAAAGGTCATTTTAAATGCATGCAGAATTTTAAATTTAAGAAAAATGGTCTTTTCAGGAATAATAACATACTCTAGTAGGTATTAGGGCACGATTTGAACTAAAGGTTGCTAAAGAAACTAAGCATTTTTCACAAATAGGTTTAACGAAAATCTGCTTTGTCTGCAAAAAGAACATTTACGTTTAGTTTCAGTTTACAATGAAACTATCCGTTCTTCTGAATATTCTAATCATCATATTTAGTTCAAGCTCAAAATAAAGGGCGTTCAAGAAAACTTATGAAAAGTTACACACTTTAATCATGTCATTTTTTCTAAATTTTTTAAGGTTGGCAAAACTTAAACTGACCCTATTCTAAAAATTGTTCGTGTCGTTTGCAATTGCTGATTTGATGGAACTCAACAAGACTTATACTCATTGAAGAAATTTTCTTTTTCAGGGTAGTTTTTAGGACTGTAAACTGTTAAAAAGTATATAGTTTTGTAGAATACTAAAGAGGCAGACATTTCTTTTTAGTTCACATTGACGTATAATAGCTTTTTGATAATATACTAGAATATATAGAAGATAAAGGCAAGGTTATTCTAACTTTGCTTATGAGTAGAATTTTTCGATATGGTTGCTGGTTCGACTCCCGCTCTGGGCATGGATGTTTCTCTCTATGTGTTGTCCTCTGCTGTGTGTGATTGTGGCCCACCATATGAACTGGTACGTGTGGAGTGGGTACTGCTGCTCGCCTCCGTGACTTAGGTTCACAGGTGCCCACTGGGTAGCGTTAAATGAGCAACACTTTCGGCATCTTCCCAGGTGAAGAACGAAAAGTTCAGTACCTGCCGTTAAAAAAAAAGAACTTTTGGATAATTTATCCATATTGCAACAACTAATGAAATTTCTGGGTCAGGATAGCCTGGTCGGTAGGGCGCTGGTCCCATGTCCGAGAGTTCGTGGGTTCAAACCCCGGCGGCCGAAGACTCCCCGTGTAGTAAAGTGACTGATGCACATTAAATCTGTCGAGTCGCAAAAGTTCTCCATAATCCCATAACAAATCAATTCCTCTGAGGGTACTGGAGACTATCGAGAACCTCTGATCTCTTGTGGATAGTCTCCATCCCCGTGCTGAACAAAGCTGCTGTACAATCCTCTGCTTTTAGGACAGGACTCATAAGGTCCAGGTGATATAATATTTTGCTAGCTTCCATAGGGTTTAAGGGGGGAAGCAAAGGTTCAATCCGGGAAGGTATATCATCCATCACTTTTAATACAGCTTGAAAGGTCCTGAGTCTTCACCCTACGAGGTGACTTGGTCAACATAAACGCTATGAGGTAGGCGAATTAGTTTCTGATAGAGCTTCAAAGCTGACTTCTTTATTTCATATTGTATAGGTAATTCATTGGTATATAGCAGAAGTGCGTCTGACAGCACCGGTGACAATACGAAGTGCATTATTTTGCAGTCGTTCCAGTCTATTTATACATCCCTCAGATACTGTAATAAGAGAAGCGTTACAGTAAGTCATGACAGGTTTTATAAAAGTCTTTTAGGTATCAAGTAGAGTTGTGGTAGCATAGCCCCACTTAACTCCTGCGAGGCGTTTAAGGAGTATCATACGCTTCTNAGAATTTTTCGATATGGTTGCTGGTTCGACTCCCGCTCTGGGCATGGATGTTTCTCTCTATGTGTTGTCCTCTGCTGTGTGTGATTGTGGCCCACCCTATGAACTGGTACGTGTGGAGTGGGTACTGCTGCTCGCCTCCGTGACTTAGGTTCACAGGTGCCCACTGGGTAACGTTAAATGAGCAACACTTTCGGCATCTTCCCAGGTGAAGAACGAAAAGTTCAGTACCTGCCGTTAAAAAAAAAGAACTTTTGGATAATTTATCCATATTGCAACAACTAATGAAATTTCTGGGCCTGGTCGGTAGGGCGCTGGTCCCATGTCCGAGAGTTCGTGGGTTCAAATCCCGCCGGCCGAAGACTCCCCGTGTAGTAAAGTGACTGATGCACATTAAATCTGTCGAGTCGCAAAATTCTCCATATTCCCATAACAAATCAATTCCTCTGGGGGTATTGGAGACTATCAAGAACCTCTGGGCCGAGTTGGACCGCCTGATTAAGGAGTGTACTACCCGTCCAAAATCGGTGAAGGAACTTGCATGTCTTGTCCAAGCCGAGTGGAAGAAAATACCACTAGCCGTCGCACAAGAACTTGTGGAAAGTATGCCCCGCGAAGGCGAGCGCGAGCGAGCAGGGGGTAAAGCCTCCTAGTATATAGAAATTGACCTGTCCAAAATAATTTTTATTTGTTGTGACAATTCTCAAAAACGATTTTTTAATATTTTTTTATTTTATTTCCAATGCAGCAGGCGATATAGACATTGCCCTAACGCCGTACAGAGATCAAAAGAAAAGAAAAATACAAATACAGAAAGATATGAAATATAGAAAATACAAAAGCAAAACATCAAACACAAAAATTAAATCAAGAACTTAAATTGAACAAAAGTTCTCTGGCCTCCCAGTATCGGGAGAAAATGCAGTTCTTTGTGAGAACTGAACAGTTGAGAAAGATGTTCAGCATTCATGGTCGCACCACTGCGACAGAGGGGCAGGCAGGATTATCCACTATTTTAAGACGGAAAAGATAGACGTATAAGCAATCGTGCTTGGTAGCAAGACGAAAGGCAGCAACAGCACTGCTTCTTGGGCAATCGGGGAGATTAAGGTTGTCATTTCCCCACGATTTTTCTTTTGTTCGTTCTTTTAGCAATGATATATGTGTTGTCTTAATTGCATGATTAACGAAGTGGATTTATAGCTAACCAAGTTATTTGGGGCTTGATTAACAAAGCAGGATACCACAGTGGGATGGGATCCATTGTAAGGCAATCGTTTTATATTTTTCACCCATCTCTGTCATTAAAGAATCTACATTTCACAATGGACAAAGAGCTAGGGGCTTGAGAGTAGTTGGCAATGGCCAGAATCGCAGCTTGGGAATCCGAGATGATGGCAGCTTGATCGAAAAGAGAAGGACGAGCATTTAAATGAGTTGAAGCTACTTTGATTGCCTCAACCTCACCATCAAAAGCGGTCTTGGCTGTTCCCAACAAAAGATAGTGGGAGAAATGCTCACAAAAAATACCAGCGCCGGTAACGCCATCCATCTCAAGCTTTGAGCCATCTGTATATCTGTGCAACCATGCTTCAAGAGGAAAACGGTTGTGGATAGTCTCCATCCCCGCGCTGAACAAAGCTGCTGTACAATCCTCGGCTTTTAAGACAGGAATCATAAGGTCCAGGTGATATAATATTTTGCTAGCTTCCATAGGGTTTAAGGGGGGAGGCAAAGGTTCAATCCGGGAAGGTATATCAAATTCATCCATCACTTTTAATACAGCTTGAAAGGTAGCCGTCCTGAGTCTTCACCCTACAAGGTTCAGACTTGGTCAACATAAACGCTACGATATAGGCGAATTAGTTTCTGATAGAGCTTCAAAGCTGACTTCTTTATTTCATATTGTATAGGTAATTCATTGGTATGTATCAGAAGTGCGTCTGACAGCACCGGTGACAAGACGAAGTGCATTATTTTGCAGTCTTTCCAGTCCATTTATACCTCCCTCAGATACTGTAATAAGAGGAGCGTTACAGTAAGTCATGACAGGTTTTATAAAAGTCTTATAGGTATCAAGTAGAGTTGTGGTAGCACAGCCCCACTTAACTCTTGCGAGGCGTTTAAGGAGTATCATACGCTTCTCAGCCCGTTGCTTGATATATAATTTCCAAGTGAGTTTACGATCGAAAATTACTCCTAAGTGCTTTTAGTACTCTCACTACACGGTAGGGCTATATTGTTATACGATATATGTAGTTGTAATGGTTGGTGACATGATGAAAAGGTTTGGTAGGTTGTTTTCACCGTGTTGACGATCATATTGTTTTCTAAACACCAGGAAAGGAGTCTGGACATGGCGTTACTTTGGGAAATTTCAAGTTTCTCGTTTGCTCTTCTTTTAGGGCTAGATGTCCAAACAAGATCGTCAGCATACATAAGTACACCTATATTTTCATCAAACAAGGATCGTATCAGATCATCAACATACACATATAACAGCGCCCTGGGGAAGACCAGTTTGCAATGTCCTAAAACCAGACTGTGCGATTCCATATCGAATATTTATAAGACGCTGGTCAAGAAAGTCACTGAACCACCGCAGCATGTTACCTGATACTATATGATTTTTTAATATAATTTTCACAAATTATGTCTACATTTTCACAAAATAGATACCTTTTAAAAAAAAAACCTAGACAGATGAAAATAAATATAGTATTTAGTATAATAGATTTAATTTATTAAATTAAATATTAGAATTTTGAGTGTAATATGCCTTTTGTTATTCATAGATTTATTCTATTTTTATAATTTGATCAAAAATAGTAATGAATGTGAGTTCAATATGTCATTATTTTAAACAAAATATTTGTTATTAATGTATGCATTAGAATTTCTGGCCAATGCAGCTGCTCAATCGAAAATTTTCTAGTCATTAAGTTTTGTTTTTTTCCATACATAAAAAAATATTAACGTTTAGAATTCAGTTTCTAATTTCATGGGTGCCACTCTAGAAAAATTTCAAGACTGAACTTATTTTTTAACCATATAACAAGATCTAGCATTGTTTAAGAGAATTTTTCGAAAATTTTTAACTCACTGACTTCAAAATGTATGATAATGGCTCATATATTATAATCAACTATAAATTTATTAATTTACCTAAAAAAATTTTTTTTCATTTTTTTAATTAATTTTTAAAATTTAGTCTACTGATTTTTTTCTCAAGTCTGATTTCAGTCCCCAGGACTGAAGAGTGGCAACCATGTAATTTTAATTATGCATTTTTATTTTTTAATGTGCTTACTCACATTTTGCATTATCATAAAATTTATAGGGCAACTAACTAGTAAGCTAAATTTATAGTGCAAATTAATAAGGCAAGATGATCATATGGCACCTGGTATATTAACCCATTAACAATTGGTTAATTTTCAAGAAAAAGGTCATAAAAGTGCCTATTTTGCCAAATGCATGTACTTAATTAGTTCAGATATCAAGTTTAAAATAAAGTATCTGCAATTACCTTAAAAAATATTTTGGTGTGTAGAATGAGAAGTAAAATATATTTATGATTTAAATGAGAAATAAAATATATATTTTCCGGGCAAAAGAAATGAATTAGTTTCATTCTTATTGGCCCGTTACAATTGAACATTCCAGCCCTGAAATTTCACGGGAGCGAGAAATAGAGGGCGAAACCTCACTCCTGTCATTTTCACAGGAGTGAGAAGCTGGTAACATATCGACATTAAATTTTAAATTGGGAACTGCCATGTTTGCTTGTAAACATAACTTGAATTATTTTCCTACCAATGTACAATAATTAACTCTGTTAAAAAATTCTAAATTTACTAAAAACTAAATTTATGGAATCTCCAGCCACAACTGTAAATCATGATCCTTTATTCATAAATGGTTGCACCTTTGAAAAGGTTAATGAATTCAAATACCTTGGAACAATGATCAATGACCAAAACAGCATAAAAACAGAAGTAGACAACCGAATTAAAATAGCAAACAAGTTTTTCTTTGGACTAAGAAAGCAATTAAGATCAAGCCTAATCAGTCGAAAAACCAAAATTTAAATTTATAAGACTCTTATTCTACCTGTATTGCTCTATGCAAGTGAAACATGGACACTAAACGCAGACACTCAGCGTACTCTTGGTGTTTATGTAGGGGGTGGAGGAGGTCCAATTTTACAAAATACTCAATTAGCAAATTCTTTGAATGCAATGCTCATAACAATTATATATTTATTATAACTATATGTACAATTTACATAACATGAATAATTAGACAATTTTTAAGAATAATGTGCGTACATGACTTTGTTCTAGTATTCTATTAGACACCTGTGTCTGTCTCCCTGGTAACATTTGAATAGATTGGTTCTGAAAATAATAAAATTGTTGTCAGGGATTTTGATTACAAAACTAAAAGGAATTAAGCTGTTCACTGCACGAAGAGAGGAGGCCATACCGGTTTCGTTGCAAATTCTCCTTCATTACTAATTTGAAATTTAAAGCAAAGAAAAAGTACAGTTATTAGACGCACTATAAGATTCTATGTGAAATTATAAGTGTCAGGTTCAGCTTTATTGTTTTTGCTCGGATGAAACCGGTTTGCATTTTTTATGTTCTTGTATCAGTTAGTTAACATTGTAATGCAATAGGTTAAAAATAAAAACCCATTACATGTATGTTTAAATATAAAATGTATTGCCTATAAACTCGTCATTATTAAATAATTATTATCAGTGAGTCTAATAATTTGATCTAAATATACTACAAATATAATGCTTGATATAATATATCGTCTAATTTAACCAATGGATACACGAACATAAACAAGTGTTAACAGTCTCGTTAAAACAAAAAAGCTGTAAAGTATCACCTGATTATAATTTCACGCAGAATCCTACAGTGCGTCTAATAAATGTGGCCGGGAACTGAAAATTCATGGAAATCTAGTGTAAGTCATGAAGTTTTGATTGCTGGAAAAAAATACTTCAAAATATTAAAATGCAAACAAATTATGAGAAGAGAACTTCTCCGTTGCGTAATCCTAAGTTATTTATTTTATTTTCAGAATTTGAAACTTCACTCTAGGTTCATCAGAACTCACTCTTTATACACTTTAAATTAGTAATGAAGAGAATTAGTGACAAAAATTTTCTCCCGCGGTATGGCATCCTCTTGAGAAAAATGTGTGGCAGAGAAATATTGTACATATTTTGTTTTTATAGAATGCATAAATACTGATGCTATATATAAAATTTATAAGAAAAAAAAATCGTGATTTTTTTTTAAGATTGGATTAAAATATACGCAAAAACACTAGAAACTTGATAAGTAGGTAAAAATTGACTTAATACGAAAGTTGGCACAAATCACCTAACTAAACTTCCCCACTTATTATTTTTTTTAAAAATAATTTTGAATACATCTGATTCCCCTCCCCCATGAAATATTAACGCAGAAAAGTATTTCTAACATTAAAATAAACTGTGGCTTTGAAGATAACGCATACCTGCCCAGTCTCCTCTTTAACTGTATATTCTCAATTTGTTGAAGAAATTAAAAAAAAAAAAAATGCAATAAAATATCTGCTGATTGCATAAGTACTTATCTCATTGCCAGTACTGCAATGGACGAGCAGTGATGGATCAGGGGATAAAGCGTTCACCTTCCAATGAGGTGAACCCAGGTTTGAATCCCAGAGATAATTGGTTCATCCAAATTCCACATCCGGCCTGCACCGACCACAGTGCTGACGTGAAATATCTTCAGTGGTAGATGGATCACTTATTAGAACCCCCTTGTGTCAGGCTAGCCGTGGGAGGTCCTCGTGGTTTTCCTCTCCAAGTAACTTGAACGCGGGTTAGTTTCATCAAAAAAGTTCTCACGAAGACAAATTTCTCCCAATACTTGATCCAGGAGTTCCCTTATCTCCTGGATTGGGTTCAAAATTACAAGGCTACAGAGTCGGACATCAGTAGTCGTAAACCCATAATCGAGTCGTTTAGTAAAATCTCCGTTATTTTACTTCTCAAATGTTGGCAGGTATGGTAATGCAATAAAACCAGACTGGTAGGATTTTCATTACCTTAGAGTTGTGGTTATTAAATGAATTTTTTTAGAGAAAAAATCCAGATAAGATAATTATTACAGATACGTAAGCATAAAAAACTGCATTGATGTTGGCATTGTTTTTGTATTCTGAAAATTTCGAAAGAATTCTAAAATGTTATTTCAAGCCTGCTGTAATATATCAGGTATTGATGCTCTTTTGCTTGATGCGTATTTACTAAAAATTTCGAAATCCAGGATAGCCTGGTTGGTAGGGCGCTGGGCACAATAGCATGTCCTACATATTAAAATAATTGTTTACATATCTTAAATTGGCAATATTTGTAAGATTTCCATGTATTAAAATGAAGTTTCATAATTTAAGGTACATTTAAATTACAATACTGAGACAGAGTATCGTAAAATCTTCAGTACTTATGGAGAATGTTATATTGTAAAAGGAACCCTCTTTATTTTATAACAGTTGTTTAACAGCTGATCCAAATTTTAGGTTTACGACTACTATTGTTCAACTCCATAGCCTTGTCATTTTGAACCCAATCCAGAAGACTCCGAGATCAAATATTAGGAGAAAATTGCCTTTGTGGTGGACTTTTTGATGGAACCTAACCCGCATTTGCATGGCACGGAGAGGAAGGCCACGAGAACTTCCGACGGCACAGGACTCTAACCCATGATCTGTCTACCACTGAGGATATCTTACGCCAGCACTGTGATCGGTGCGGAATTTGAATCAACGAGTCACACCCCACATTCGAACCCGGTTCGCGTCATTGGAGGGGGAACACTCTATCCTTTGAGCCATCACGGCTCTGTTGTAGAAGATTCCTATGTCCACGAATATTTTTTAAAGTATTAAAAAAAAGTGAGTTTATTCAAACTCATTGTGAACAAAGTTTCAAATGCTGAAAATTTTTTTTTAAATAAAGTAAATGAAACAAATTATAACTTTTCAGCATTTCAAACTTCATAATTTACTAAGGATTTGACACTTTAAATTACAAATGAAGGTGAAATAATATATATGCCATGAAAAGTTTCTCTCCTTTACAGACTGAAATTTTACGATTCTCCCATCTTAATTCACAGTGAACAAAATATCTTTTGTCATTAAATATGTTTGGTTTCATTAAAATGTGATAGTTGCCAAACTTTGAAATAGTTTAAATAATAACTAGTTGTTGAATAAGAAAATTATAATTCCCTATAAGTTCATGATGGGTGCAGAATAGAGGCTCACTTTTAGAACTTTGAGCCCCGAGATGTATGTCTGATAATTTCTCTTGTCCTAAGTATGAGGATAACTTATCTTTGAAAATATACACAGGGTATCCGCGCACTTGGAAAGTCATGAATTTCGGTATTGAACAAAATTCGTTATGGAATGTCATGAATTTAACTATTTTGTAAAAAAAATCATGGTAAGTTATGGATTTAGGTCGCCGAAAAATTTTATTTTTAAAATGGAATCCCTCCCCTATTTCGTGATGTTCCGAATATCTGAATTTTTAACAAAATCCCCGCTGTGAGTCATATTTTATAAAAATATAACAAGTTTTCATCATTTTCTTTAAAAATTATGCTGTTCTTTCAAAAAATGAAAGAAAAAACATCATTTCTACAGCGAAGTATCTTTTAAACTTATGTGATTTCAGAATTATTATTATTCATCGTTTTTTTTATTTTATCAATTTAAAATTCTAGCTGAAGCAAGTCGGTCATTGGCAAATTTTTTTAATTCCGAAATGAGAACAGAAAATCAGGAGTATGTCTTTCCTTTCTGATGAACAAGAAAAGTATCTTTAGAATATAATATAACTCTGCAGAAAAAAATTTATTTGCTTTCGTATTTTTTTCAGCTATTTTATTGCTTCAACTATTTCTTTACTCCTTTTTAAATTTAAAATCTATAAATATGAAGATGCAAAGTATAACAGTTTTGGTTATACCTATCATTTTAATTAATGCGATTATAATGCTTTTTAAATGTATTATTCTGTTTTTGTCGGAGAAAATAGTAACTTCATGAAAAGTTCTTGGAATTAGACACGGAAAGTCATGAATTTGAGAATCTAAAATGTAGCAGATACCCTGTATATAATATGCATGTGATTTTAAATAGAGAAAGAGGGAAAGAATGTTCTACCTTTGCCAACCCTCATAGGCCAAAGGGTGTATTGCTTCACACCAGTCGCAATATATATTTAATGTTACTTTTCACTACCAAACTAAATATAATCTCTCACTGTGTTATTAGAATGTCATAACGGACATGTGACTGCAGCAAGAAGAAATTATTTGAAGTTCTTATCAATGTGTTACATTTATAAAATTTAAAAAGACTCATAAATTTTTTTTATTTCTTATCAACACAGGAAAGATCGTATCTATAAAAAAATTACATATTTCTTCTTTTTCGCGCACATTGAAATACGAAATTCAAATTTCCATGTCTTAATACATTAAAAATTAATTCGATATAATTGTAATGAAAGAAAATAGTGGGCGAATCATATTGATTAAAAAATTCTGTTAAAATTGCAACACAATAAAAGTTTGGCATTTCAGAATTATTATTTTTTAGATTATCAGTTTTATACTTTTGTGTTTAGTTCATTAAATTCTGCAAAGTAGAGGAAGAATAACATGCCTGAACTCAGAAACTATTCTTCTCGTATATTTCAGAGGAGAGATTTTGAAACAAAATTAATCACTAAATTAAAGAAAAATATATTTTTTTCTTTAAAAATTGATTATGCAAAAGCAAAAACTGCTAAAAGTTTTTAACAAATTCAAACTTATTAATCGCTTTTTTGAGGAAAAAAAAAAAAACTATACAAAATCAGGGCTTGGATGATGACCCAAAAATTTCTTGAAATATTTAATTTTATGTGACATTTAAGAGTGGATTAATTATGAAAAACAAATCTTGAACTGAAATCAATAAAATTTCTTAAATATTCTGCAAAGCTATAAAAATATTATTTGATGTATTAAGTGGTCACTCACCACTACATTCTTGATTGGAGGGTGTAATAATTTCTTGTATTAACTGCTGCACACACAAATGAATATAAATATATTGATCCTAAAAGAAAAAAGTATCATATGATTTATGCTAATTAAAAGCATTTTAAGTTTTTTTTTAAAGTAATAAAAACTTAATAACATTACATAATTTTTTGTAATATTCAATCATGGTGTGGTAGCATTTTTTAAAAGCCCTTAAATGTGCTTTTCTCATTAGGTGTTTTTACAAGTTAAGCTTAATTTTCCTTTTTCGAAAATGAGTGCGTGCTTTTCACAGTGTTCTATTCAACGCTTTCACAATTCATTCAACCATAATCCATTTCGGCATACCGTCATTCCATAGCGTATGAAAGCGCCAATCATTTTACATGTTTGATGAAATACTTGCGAATGCGCATCGACTGAGCTGAGTTCTGTGAGATTCTTGCACTCTCCTGTGCAACTCTGTTGTATTTTGCAACATATTCTCCATTTCAGGTTTTATTTTCCACCCTCTGAAATTGAACCGAGAAATCTCTCGATCATTTTATGGTGGCTAATATAATCAAGAAAAGATTTCTTTGTCAAAAACTAGTTATTTTATTATGATCATGTAAAGACTGAAAATTATTTTGCATTTTGTTCATGTATATAGTGCTTAAAAATATTTTAGAGTGCTTAAAAAGTACTCAAAAGGTGCATATTTTTTGATGAAAGATTTGGCTAGGCACCCTGTTAAGGCATTTTATTTATTCATTTATACACAAATCCCTTCTAAATTGGGAATAAAATTCATTTTACCGATCTAACCTAGTCTATATTTATTTTCATTAAAACTAATGTAAATGATGCATAGGTCATCAGATTCATTTTCAATTGATCCATTGCATTGTAGGAAATGTATCATATCAGATACATTAAACAACCAAAAAGAGGATTTCTTATTTTTTTGTGAGGTGGGGGGGATTGAAGACTTTTTGCTTAGCAAAATAAGCTATGAAACAATTAAAATTTCCTTTAAGTATTATCAAATGATTTTCCAGATTGAGTAATGCTTATGAAAGGTGTCCCATAATTGACACAAGATTTGAATTTACAGCCATTTTTGACGTAAATAGATGACAGCCCTGAAAAAAGAACATCAGACAGCTGAGAATTATATGAAACAATGTGATTTCAACAATTACAACAATTTAATTACTGCATGAGACTTTTCTTGGTTGTGTACTCTCTCGTTTCGGTGATCAGAATTGGCTACTCTAGATCATGTGACTTAACGCCATTAGATTTCTTCTTATGGGGTTACTTGAAGTCAAAGGTCTATGTCAACAAGCCCACAACCAACTGTGCATTACAAGAGGAAGTTAAACATTGCATCAACGAAATTCAGCCACAATTATAAAGAAAATTTTGACAAAAGAGTGTGTATGCACCAGCAAAGCCGTGAAGGCCATTTGACTGATGTGTCATTCCATAAATAATCCTATCCTATGTACTTTATGATTCAATAAAAAAAATAACTATCTAAAGACTCAAAACTGTGTTATCTATTTAATTCAAACCTTACGCTAATTTTGGAACACCCTTTATGTTATGCTTACTTGTATCTATACACATATTAATAATACATGAATAAAGAGGCAAGTTACTCTAAAGAAAATTTTTAAAGCGATGAAATACCTCAGTTTGTACCATGTTTATTCTATGTTGCCGGAGTTCCATGACGGTTTCAAATATATTGATGTCATCATTGTGCTTCAGGTTTTGTGCAAGTCTGTCGACAACGATGAAAGTACCTGTTCGACCTACGCCAGCACTGACAAAATAAATCAATAATATTTATATCAGTTGTCTAAAACAACTATACTAATTAGTTGACTAAAACAACTTCAACAACAATAATATTCACAAAAGAGTGCTTTACAAAATATTATATTGTAAAATACCAGTGATAGCAGAGTTTAACAAACGCTTCCCTTATTTTAGAATCAGTTTTGTCACAAACTAATTAAATTAAAAATACTCTTTTCTTAATAAGAAGAACAAAAACAAGAGCAGTAGCAGATTCCACTCAAATACCATATATTTTGAAGAATGCAATTCCAAAATGTTCTGAATATAATTTATTCTGAATGTTAACAAATTTTAAATGTAAACAAATAAGAAAAATTTTAATTGAATTCCTACTTAGGTCAATAAATAAAAAAAATTTAGTCACTTTCTATTAGATAATTAAAAAATTTTCTACCATATAAAACTATAATTAATTAATTATTATTTGGAAAAAACTGTATTAACATCAAGTAACATCCACTACAAGTTTTAAAAAAAAATGGATGAATAAAAAGTATTTTATTAAATTTGAACAAGATATAGCGAGAGTGTGAACTAATAGCAAGAATTGAAAAAAGGGTCACCTGCAGTGGACAACAATGGGTCCAGGCCTGATTCTTGGGAGATGGTCTCTGACAGCTGTCACAAAGTTTATCAAGTCTTCAGGACGCTCAGGGCAACCAAAGTCTGGCCAATGAGTAAAGTGCATTTGTTTAACCATTCTCTGCTGAGAGCCCTACAATATAAAATAAGCATTAACTGTGTATTGCCTAAATTGTTCTTAGTTAATTTATACAATAAATTATTGTCTAAAAAATGACACCATTTATATTGCTAATTTTATACATTATAGGACAGGGGTGGCGAACCTTTATACACCAACGTGCCATTTTTTCTAAAAAATTGCTTCACGAGGTCATAGACGTGCCATCAAATAATTTTGACATCGTGATTATTGGGAAAATAATAATACTAAATACTATCAACTCAAAACTCTTTATTTACGTAGAAAAAAAAAAACATTTTGCAATGTCTCATCAGTTATACGCGGAATTCAACTTGAAGGAATATCAGTGTGACTTCTGTTGTTGTAGATTAGATGACAAATAACTTATATTAGGTTGTAAGATGTTAGTTTAAGCAGGACTGTTAATTTTTTTGCTAGTTATTTATTGTTAGCTTGTTTTTTATAGTAATTAATTGGTTTTTTTCAGCATTAATTGTTAATTTTTTATTAATAATTGTTTAGTACTTTGTATGTTTTATGTGAATTTTAATTTAATTGTTACACATGCTTCATAGTGTAATACCATTTGTGTAATAGCAAATGTGATCAGTGGCGTGCCCGAAGTATTGTGTCGGGTGCCATAAATGGCACGCGTGCCATTGGTTCACCATCCCTGTTATAGGATATTAGTAGCAATATTTTGTTGTATCATCGAGCTAAAATAATAATTATCTTCACGCTAATGCAGTTTAAAAATTTGGCATTCATTAAAGGTGAACTTTTGAAAATGTTTTGATAGGTATTTGATAAAAAATATTTTTAATGAAGTGCTAGGAAATTTGTGTTAGATAATTTTTTATGCATCTCATAAATTTTTTTTTTTATTTTTTTTTTATGAAACTAACCAAAGTAACCTTTCATTTATAAAACCTACTTTATACTTAATTGTGTTTAAAAGGAATCTCAGTTTAAGAAAATAATAAACAATTATATAAAATCTTTTTTTTATTTTTTTATGTTGAGCATTATCAAGATTCCCAGTTGATTACAGAGATAAAATTACTTTACTTTTCAAAGTTTTTCATGAAACTTTAATGTAATTTCAAATAACATGTTTGTTTAATTATATACAGCAATATTTCATCAGAAATGCAATATTTTTTTATTCAATAAACAACAAAACATACTTTTTAATAGTAAGTACGCCAATCATTAAAATTTGTAAAAAATAAAACTTCACTAAATGAAAGTTGAACTTATAAATTTTATAGTACTCTAGATAGAAGCATACTGTGCAGAGTCTAAGAAATTAAAAAAGGAAAAAAAAAGAATTAATTAATAGTCATATAATTAGCCATCATATATCTAACTTGTAATTAAGAATTAATTTATTCAGAAAGCTTAACTTTTAAAAACTCAAAATCATTGAACTACAAATAAGGTAATACTTAAGAACAAACTTAGGCAAGGAACGAGCAAAGAGTATTTTTTACAGGATATAAAAATACAGCTTCCAACAAGGATACGAAAAAATCCAGTAGATTTTAAGAAATATAAATTTTATGATAATTGCTGCATCATGTACTAAATATTTTACAGATAGGGAATTTTATTGATTAGTCATCAAAATAGAAAAACTGTAATATTTTCCAGTTATGATTGACATTAAACATACCTGAAATGTTATATATAATATTTACTAATAATTTGGATTATTAATAGGCATTCAATTCATCAAAGATAGTTAAAAGATTTTTCAAATTAATTTAAAAAGAGATTTCTGAATAAAAATAAACTGAACATTTTGAACAAAAAAAAGTGTTGAATTGATATCTATAAATGAGATCCGCTTCATTATGTATTAGTAATACTTTTTTAAAAATTCAACCAAGCAAGCAATAATCTGTACAAAAATTCTATTTCAATATGAAATTTTTTTGGGAAACTTTAGGAATTTTTCTAAAATGTACAAAAACTAGGAGAATTTTAATTAAACCAGTGGACCAGGAGAAATTGGCAAAATCCAGCAGGTTACTGGAAAAACCAGTAGAGTTGGCAGCTATAAAAATAGATGTTACATCATTGGTTACTTATTGCTAACCTCAATTATGAAATTTGTTAATTTTCATGTTTCTTGTAAACAAAATTTGAGTTTTGATCAAAAGTTGCATTATTCTCTCCAGAATCACTGAATTCCCTGTCAATTCCAAATTTTCACGACCCCTTGGGAGCCGTGTTCATTAAAAAAATTTTAAATTCAAGTTACTTGAAGTAACAATTCGCATTTTTAAAAAAATATTTATTACCAGTTGCAGATGAAAGACCCTTATGATGTAAGATGAAAGCATAGACTCTGATATCAGCTTCACTTGTATATCTCCATAGTATTTGGGCTCTTTCTCATCTGGCCAGTATTTTTCACACTTCACCTTTCCACGTTCCATCAGCTGGGTCAGCATCACAATCATTGTGGTCGATTGCTCCCAAATCATTCGCCAAAAATCATCCACTGTATTTGCCAATGGGCCTTGACTAGCAATGTATTCACGCAGACTAGAATCACCCTGGAAAATATTTATCTTTCTTCAGCAAAAATCATGAATTAAAAATAAAATAGTCACATTTTTTCCAACAAAGCCAAAGTGTTATTGTGGTTGCGGTGAGCGTTTTAAATTAATTAGTGGATTTGTACATGGTGCATTATTTTAGTTTCAAGCATATTTTTGGTTGTGATATAGTGATAATTATCTCAGAGAAATGAATAAAAGCGTTTAAGAAAAATTTGATTTATTAAGTAAATATTAGTAGATTAAAAATGGCCATAACTAAAATATAAAAATTAAGAAAAACCCCTTAAAGGGATCAAGAAAAAAATGATTCTGTTAAGATTGATATTCCACGGTTTGAACTGGAATGCCCAAAAGGGTGCCCTCAGTCACCAGAAATTGAAAGTGAATGTATTGTTCCCAACAGACAGTGAGGAGCCTGGGAAGATATCTATGTTTGGCGATTTATTGAAAGATAATAGAGCCAAAAATAAAGTCAACTCCCATAATCAATATTAGATTTGAAAATACTTAAGCCTTTGTGAATTGCCAACAAGACTGTGAGAATCAGTATAAACATATAACTGAAACGTATTTGTGGTAAGAAATGAAGAATAAAGAGTTATAAATAGATTTTCGGTTTTGATTAATCGCAACAGTGAATTAATGAGTCTTACATTAGTATTGAAATACAAAGTTAGCCGTTACATTGATTGATAAGAATGAATAAAATATTTTATACTCGCTTTTTATAAATTGTAATAAAAATTAAAAAAATAAGCTTAAGAAATTAAGGAAATTTTAAAAGCTAGGAAATATATAATGCCAATACGACACCACAGTTATCAATACTTAATTGAATAGCTTAAATAGTTAATGTTTCATACTAAAGGGTTAAAATTATTTAATTACAAACTAAACACTGAATAAATGAAATAGTTATTTTTGTTCAAACTCAACACCCTCATGTTAACTAAGGATAGGGAGGCAATTTGTTAATTAGACTTAAAATGGAGAATATATTAATTACAATAAGAAAACATAACTAAAAAAAAAAATTGGGGGTTATGCGGGGCAGAACAATAAGTTTTGAAATCACTCTTGCTTAAATAAATATGAAACTAAATGGGTATTATTTAAACATGCTTATCAAAAAAAAATTTTTTTTTACAATACAGCTAATGGAGAATTATTATTCAAAAGTTTCATGTCACTATTATACGCTTTTAATTTCCTCCTTTTATTTTCTTTCTAGATTGATGAAATATAATAATTTACAAGTAGTATACCCCTTTCATTATTTCCCTTTTTAAAAAAACCCCGACATTTATATTATATTTTAATGCTGATTTAGATTTTGCAAATTGCGTGATAGAAAAGTTTTGGCAGTCTGGTAATTTTTCAATTTTCTTAAAAAATAACCAAAAAGGATCCCTTTTAAATAAATGAATAAATAAAAAGTTTACAGTAAAAAAGGGAAAAACATAACATGATAGCAATAATTTTTTTAATATATATTTTCTTCCTATATTTTTCTTTATGAAAAAGTAATTTCACCTTTCAATTGATTATTTTTTGTTGGATTTTACTTCTTTTAAGTTTTGTACCAAGCAATAAACTGAATAAAAAATCTTTCATGGAATTTACAGTATTAGAAAAAATAAATGAACAAAAATGGAATTCTGTAGTCCTTTTGAAAATCCAATAAAGTTATAAGCATTTTTAAAGAATGCAAATACTTACAATGATGTAGTTTGCATTGATAAAATCAGATGCAGGTTCATCCCCAAGGGGTAGCAGCTTTACTCGTGAATGATCATCTGAAAATAATAAAAAAATGATCGATTCAATGCCTAAACAGAATTAATAAATGTTTAGCATTCCTATTTAAATTAAGAGTAACATTCTATATAAAACTCAACATTAATGAATGCGTAAATTAGTGATATTAAGTTAGGCAATATTTTAACAGTATTAAAAGAATATATAGTTTTAAACAACAGATACTGAATACTATTATAGCTTACAATTAAGGGATTATAAATTTATTGCATTTAAAGCATATATTTTGACAAGAATGCACGGAGAAAAAGTGTAATTTTTACAAAGAATTAATGTAATACACAAAATAATAAATAAATTTGCAATATGCAAAAATAGTAAATAAATTTATCATATGCAACTCTCTTTGAATTATTACTCCGAGTTCACAAATTTTTTATTTTGCAGATTTACTACAGCGTTTGATAAAATACATAGAATAAGATCTATTTTTGCAGCCAAAATCCACCTTCAGTTTATTAAGCATTAACTATTTTTGAGTATTTTTTGTTTTATTTTATTCATTGAAATGCATTTTAGTGAACTTGGTTAAGAAATTTTCAGTTCTTACATGGAAATATATTCATCCATCTATTTTTATGACGATTTTCGTCCATTTCAGCGGCAGTGCAAGGCAATTTTGGACTGTTGTGCTTCAAAGTCTGTAATATGAAGAAAATAAAAATGAATAAATTCCTATGAAACTAAAATATGCATAAAATATAAATTATAAACTAAAAAGGAGTGGTGCATAGCAAAGAACAAAGAGGCTGTTAAATACGAGAAAAATATTGCACGAGAGTGGCCTTTCCATTTTAACAACCACTTCTATGCAGTTTCTGGATAAAAATGGAAGAAAAAAAATTTTAAAAATAATATTATTTCTTCAGAATTGTTAAAAATCTTTTTTTAAGTACATTCATGGAATTCAAGTGATAACAGTTTACTTAAATGCTTTCACAAGAATTTAAAGTTAAATTTAAACTTTAACTGCTTCCCTGTTTACCGCAAGTTAACTCGGGTATCGACATATTGCAAACATTCATTATCTTGAGAAAACTCAGGTGTAGCAAAATTTTTCATTAAGTTTTGTTTTATTGTGTTCTTACTCCACTGGAAGCAAAAAAAGATAACCTGTTCTGATTGAAAGTTTGCAAAGTTTTGTTTGGCAGTTCTGCTGTTGGATGGCGGGAATGCTCACGTGTTTTGTACAATTGTATTTATGATAGTTGCTGGAATTACAAAGAAAAAAAATGCTGTATCACTTCATTGGCGTTTGGAAAGTATCACTTTGCGTTGTCCCTCGTTTTAAAAACTATCATACAAAGACTAATATTTAACTTTTTTTCTCTTACCCGAGATAACTCGGAATAGTAAGTAAACTGGTGGTAACATGTCACAATAAAAAATATTTAAAACAGGGGGAGTTCTTACTGCAGCCAAACTATAATTACTATATGATCGGAATCTGAGGCATAAAATTTTTTATAGTGGTTTAAATTGAAATACACATTTAAATAGTTCTCAAAAATTCACACCTGAAAAAAGAAATTGAAACAAATTTCTCATGCAACTGCAATTTTGCTGAATATTTATTCTTAAATTAGCTAAATTTAAATTGATGAAAATTCATGTCAGGGAGGATTTTTTTCAGATTTCCAATTACTGAAGACCCCCATTCCCTGCACCTGCAATTCCCTAGTATAAAACTTTTTCATAGAGTTACCTTTCAATTTTTTTTAGCCTACCTACAAGACTATAAAAATATTCTATAAAAAAAGAAAGAAATTAAAATTCAGCAGTATGTTTGAAAGTGTTATAACTATAACAAAAGAATGGTTTACCTCAAACTCTTCAGAAAATTTCAAATGAGAATCAGACAGCATAATTCGTACATGTTCACAGAAATTTTGAATCTTAATACACCTGAAACAAACATTTTCATTGAGACAGTTAACTTGGAAAAAGATGAAGAAAAGAACTGTTCAAAGTGCTAAATCAGATTAGAAATTGTAAGATTATCAAAAAGCACACAAATAATATAAATGAACACTTTCTTTCTCTATCTTAAAATTTTAAGCATTCTACAATATTGATAAGATTTATTAGCATTAAAAGAAATAATTTATTTAAACTATTTCTTAATCAAATTAAATGGAAGTTATTACAAAACTTACAATAAGGAGTCATTAAAATTTTACTTAAGCACCTAATTAAGGAAGGGGTGTCACTCACTCTTCAGTCCTAAGGACTGAAATCAGTCTTAAAAAAGGATCCACTAGACTAAATTCAGTCCTCCACACATTTCATTTATTAAATTGAGTTTTCAAAAAAAAATTTTTTTTCCTTATAAATTCCCTTATTATTTTTTTAAAAAAATTCAGTTAAAATAAAAAAAAATAAAAAATTATTTGTGTTTAAAACATTGTTATTTTCATATTGAATGTTAATGACTGAACTTCTGTAAATAAAATTTGTATAATTAAATCAGAATCCATTTGAGTTTAAATTGTGTTTCTTGAAAGCCACATGGGTTTTCCACAAATTTCCTTTTGTGTCACAAAACAAAATTTTAAAACAAATGATAGTACCCTAAAATGATGGTCCAGACAACAAAATTTGATGATATTAGGAAATAAAACATAATTTAATAGGGTGCGGTCCTATATGATGCTGGTGTCATTTTTAATTTATCTTGTTTAATAATACAAAATTAAATATGTGGAAAATCCATTATCATTCAACAAAAATTACTTTGAAAATTGCTAGAAACTTTTTCAATTTTCAAGATATTCAAATCAGTCTTTTTATTTTCATTAGTTACCAAATACGATTCAAGACAAAATTTATGAAAAAAATTGTTTTAAATATTTCTCGTGCATGCACAGTCAGAAAATATTAGTTTAAATGCTCATATCTTGTGTAATTTTTCATTTTTTTTCGAATTTTAAAACAATATTTTCATTATTAATTAAAAATTAGTCTAAAAATTTTATTTAATTTTATTGAATATTTCTGGAGTTATAGTAAACAAAAGTCAACGTAAGACAATTTTTTTTTAAAAAATAAAAATGTCCATATTTCCATAAATATTTAAGCAAATATAAAATAAAAATGTCCATATTTCCATAAATACTTAAGCAAATTTACAAATTTTGTGTAGTTATTTCACATAATAATCAACATAAATGACACGAGTTACAAGCTTATTGCTGTATTTTTATTTTGTCACAGGGTGTTCAAAAAATTTTATTTTTCATTTGTAATTTATATCTGATCCCTTTTACCTCTTAAAGCTTTAAACTTTATTGATATGTTTGAGAAATTGCACGACTTAAACACTTTTAAAGTTTGAAAATAATTTCCTAAGTATTTCTTGAGAAATATGAAGAGCTATTATAGAAGTATTTCCAACCCCTGTATGCCCAGTGGCAGAACCGCAGCGATGCAGAACGTTACAAAGTTCTTACAGAAAGATTTAACTTTTCTTTTCCACAGAAATTTACACACAATATTTGACTGGGCATTTAGATAATTACTTTTTGACATGGTCAATTTACGGCGATAGTATCGTAAATCGATGTAATTTTTCGATTGTATTTTTGGCAGTTACTGATATTGATTTTCACATGGTTTATAAATATCTCAATATATTTTAAACAATATGGAAAATTCGAATCGTGCATTTGAGTATTTACTTATAAGGCATGCTATTTATTTCAAAATAGTTTTTGAATCCGATATTTTTTATACAATATTATTTAATACAGCAACCTAATCTCGAAACGAAACACACATTAGAGAAGTCCGATTCGTCTGATTTCTTCCTCTATCTTTTTTTTCGGCAATTACTATTACGGATTTCATCATTTTTAATTATATTTTTAAATGTGATGATTATTTACAAAATGCGAAGAAGGAAATAATTTGTGTAGTCCCCCCAACAAAATGCAAGAATATCACCCATAATATTACAATAAAAATTTATTACGTGTTCAATTAAAACAAAAATATACGATATTATTTTTGTAAACAGCGCTTTTGTTATTTTAAATTGGTAACATATATCTTTATTATTATTAAAAGTATCTTTCAGAAAGATATTAGTGCTAGAGAGTTTTGTTGCAGATAGTTCAAGAAAATTCTGCCACATGGACCTTGAATAATCTAAGGTAACCTTTTGTTAACCTAGTAACTCAATTAAACTGATCTGAACCCAATTTCATTTTCTTAAATTGACTCCTAGTAACAAACAGTATAAAATAATGTACAAAAGAAAAAACTAAACAATATATATTCAAACTAAACACATAAAAAATCATTTTAAACTGTTAAATTTCATGTAAAATCCAAACAGAGCAAATCATTTTTAATAAAATACAAAACGAATTAACAGTTAAAAAAATCACTCACCGGCCATGTTGATAAGTTTCTAATTCGACACCAGTTTCTGGTTGTGACGTGGCAAGGGTTGGACGTACAAATCGTGATCTAAAATATAAAAGATTTTTCAATACATTATTATCTAAAAAGAAAAACAAAAATAAGAATCATCTTAAATGCAGTTACAAAATATGAAAAACACTAGTACCTGGTAAACTATACTATTATAACAGAGTGTGCAGCTAAATCTCAACAAAAAATAAGCACCTTTTAAGCACTCAAAAAATATTTTTTAATAACAATATACATTAACAAAATAATTTTCAAAAACTTTATATGAACATGTTCATGATAAAATAACTAGTTTTTGACAAATAACTCTTTTCTTGCAATAATCTTTCTGGACCCATCTCAGTAGATGCACATGTGGATTCCCAAGTATTTCATCAAACATGTAAAATGCTTTTATATGCTACGGACCAACGGTAAGCAGAAATAGATTGAGGATGAACTAATTGTTAAAATGTTGAATAGTACAATTTGAAAAGCACGCTTTTGCACAATAAGTGGGGAAAATCAACAGGCATTTGAAAAGGGAAATTTAAGCACTTTTTAAAAACTCAATGAAAAAAGCAATTTTAAGGGCTTTTAAAAAACGAAAATCGAAAATAAGCACCTGTAAGCACTTTTTAAAAACGCTACACACCATGTATAAAGTGTTTCAGTAGAGAAAAGAATTAACAAACATCTAACTCCTTTATTATTTTACACTTAGTTACAATAAAAAGTATAATTTATAATCAAGCTAAATATAATGATTTTTTTTTATGTATTATTATAGTATTATGTTTAGCTAGTATTATAATATGTATGTATTATAGTATTATGTATTATTTTTTAAAACAATTGAGACATTTTAAAAGCTAATAAAACTACATTTGTGCAATTAGTTTTACTTTCTAATAATAAAAGATAGATTTTATATGACGTGCTATACATGATCTGGTTAGCTAATTATTAGTCAGTTAAAAAAAATTTCTTCTTTGCTACTGACTCTGCAGCCCGTTGCAGGTAGAGACCTTTTTTAAGATCTTTTTCTATTTTGCTCTCTTCTTTGTTGATAGTTTAGTTTGGTTCTAATTATTTACATTTCCAACAACTATATTCATAATATTTGTTATAAAAGTAGTTCTGTTGTTAAAATTGTTAGTCTGTGAAAAAAGATTTTTCTTAACAATGAAAAGTAAATATTGCAATACCCACTTCACAATTTTAACCTTGATTGGTGCCATGATTTTTGTATGAATGTAAAACTTTATTCAATTCCTACTATTAGTTGACACTCTCCCTATATCTTGTTCACATTTTCAATCGTTAATAAAATACTTTTCATGCATCCACTCAACTACAAATACATTTTTACAAACTTGTTGTGGAATGACACTTGATGTTAATGCAGTTTTATTTCAAATATTAATTCATTCATTGCAATTATTTAATAAAAAGAAACGTTTTTATAATACTTGTTTTTACTCCTACAGCTTCCCTAAATTTTGCTTAAGAGATAAATATATTTATTAACTCTTAAAAAAAAATTTTTTTTTTAAAAAGTCAGAAATTTATCATTTAAAATATTTAAATATTGTTCACTTTTCATTGCCTTTCAACTTGTTTTATTAAGAAGTTTTAAATATAATATTTTAAAGGTACAATACCAAAATACAATTAACTTCGACTGTCCTATTTAAAATTGTAAAAACGTGTTCTCCGATTTGATTTTGAAAATTGTTCATTCCGAAATAGTTGAACAAAAAGTCAAGGCAATTCAAAAATGATACTTTCACCTATTTTATATTGTTACCTGTGCCACTTTATTTTATAACCATTGTTGAATAGCCAACCCATTTTTGGGGGGGTTTACGACTACTAATGTTCAACTCCGTAGCCTTATAATTTTAAACCCAATTCAGAAGACATAGGAACTTCTGAATCAAGCATTTGGGAAAAATCTGCCTTGGTGGAGAACTTTTCGAAGGAACTAACCTGCAATTGCATTACATGGAGAGGAAAACCACAAAAACCTCCCATGGTTAGCCTGATACCAAGGGGATTATAATCTGTATACCACTGAGAATATTTTATGTCAGCACTGTGTGAGTGTTATGTCAGCACTGTGTCAGTGCAAGCTGGGTGTGGAATTCGTATTAACCTGCCAAGCCTGGGATTCGAAGCCGGCTCACATTGGAAAGCAAACACTCTATCTACCACGGCTCTACTCATGCCAATTGTAGATACCACAAAGCATGTTTGAAATCAAGTGAATTTTTAAGGTAGAGGGTACGTTCCTTGTTATTTCAGCGACGCCATCTATGGCCAAGAATACGACTTCAGCCATTCACACGATAATGATATTAATAATTATTATTTTCATCAAAATTCAAATAAAAATGTTTCCAAAATTGGTCATTAGGCACTTTTAAATAATTTTCAATGACTTAAAACCCATAGTTATAGACATGTATCATTACAAAAATATTAAAAATAGTCAAAATGAGACAATTTTTTTTTATTACTTTTATTTTCACATTAAAAATATTTTGACTTGTGAAGACTTGACTATTTTCTTATGTTTAGACATATCCCTCGTGGCAGAATTGCAGCAACACGACGACATTGTCACAGAAGGTTACAGAGTTCTTGGAGAAAGTTTTCTGTTCTACAGAATTTCACACATAAAATTTGATTCATACATTTAAATAAACAATATTTTGCTCGCTCGATTTATGCTGATAGTATCATACATCGATACAATGTTTTGATTGTATTTTTGGCAATTATTGATATTGACTCCACGTGATTTTTAAATAGTCAAATATATTTCAAACAGTATGAGAAATTCGAATTGTGCATTTGAGTATTAACTGTAGAAGGCAATGAATCTATTTATTTTTTGGTTGTTCTTGCTATTGATTTCTCCATAGTTTTTAAATCCGATGTTTTTTATACTATGTTATCTAATCCCGAAACGAAATACGCATTTAAGTAATCCTTTTTTGAGGAATCCGATTTGTGTGATTTTGTCGTTGAACTTTTTCCCGGCAATTACTACTACGGATTTCATTATTTTAATTTTTTTTTTTTTATTGTGATGATTATTTGCAAAATGCAAGGAAGAAAATAATTAGTGTGTTTCCCTCCTCAACAAAATGCTAGAATATCAACCATGATATAAGAATAAAAAAATATTACATGTTTAATTAAAAAAATTATATATAGTTTTTTTTAACACATTACTTTTGTTATTTTAAATTGGTAAAATANTCCCAATAATTTTTTTTTTAAGTTGGGTTAACGATAAAAAAAACCCGACTTTTTGTAGCGATTCAGGAAACCGGAAAAATCAGTTATCCGGAATAGCGATGGTCCCGATCGTTCCGGATAATCGGTTTCCTACTGTATATATATATATTGTAAACACAGCAATTACAAAACAAGCAATTAGGAATCTGTTATTGTTAAATAGGTACATTGTGTAAATAAAGTCAAGGTGCACTTTTGATCAGTTTACTATCAAAAGTGTACCATGATTTTAAGGACATACTATATTGTATAAATATAGGTATCTGTCAAGATCTACAAATTTTTTTATTTAAATATTATTCTTAACTGTACATTAAAAAAACACACACTTGAATTAAGAAAATTAATTAAGTTGAATAAGTAAAAATTAGTAATACAGTCAAACCCCGCTATAGTGAACACAGTTTATAGTGAACTCCAGGATATAGTGAACGAAATGTTTGGTCCCGTGCCTTACTATACATGTATAATGTTAATTTTTGTGGATATAGTGAACCAAAAAAAAGAGCAAGTTGGATATAATGAACTTTTTACTGTCTTTGACTGATTTTCCTCTTCATTTTTTTTGTAATAATTTTGAAATTTACTCTTCGAAATAAATTCAAATAACGATTTTTAAAACCATCTATAGAGGAGAATGTAACATTAAGCATTTTTTAATTGTTTGCTTCTTTTATCTCCCTCTCCCATCCCTAAACAAACCAAGCAGATGTTTTCAACTCTCAGATCAGTTAAAAAAACTCTCAGATCAGTTAAAAAAAGCCTGCAAACAAGTGTCTCAAATTTAACTATAGTGAGCTGTAAACGTAAAACATTCTACATTGATGATAAAATGGGCATAATCAGAAAAATTTAAAATGGATGTAATCAAGCTGATATTCGCAGGGAATATAAATAATCCAAATCTACAGTTTATAACATATGGAAAAATAGGCATTTAATAATTTCTGCTCATGAAAAAAATTTTGATGGCATAAAAAAGTTTAGAAAAGCAGATCACAAGGATGTTGAAGAAGCATTACTGAAGTGGTTCAGCATTCAAAGAAGCCGTAATCTCCCAGTATCTGGACAAATGCTTCAAGTCAAAGCCGATGAATTTGCTAAGCGATTTCATGAGACTATTTTTGCGTGCTCGAATGGCTGTTTAGACAGGCTTAAAAAGCGGAACAACATAAATTCAGGAAAAATTATCGGAAAGTCGGGAAGTGTTTCCTTATCTTATGTTGAGGAATAGAAAAGATATGTTTGGAATGATATCTCCCGTAACTATGAAGAGAAAGACATATTCAACACGGATGAAGCTGGATTATTTTATAAAATGACACCTAACCAAGCATTAAAATTTAAAAATGAAAAGTGCTCTGGTGGTAAACTTGCAAAAGTGCGACTCACCGTTCTGGTATGAGCTAATATGAATTGATCTGAGAAGCGCAAACTTTTAGTAATTGGCATATCTCAGAAGCCAAGATGCTTCAAAAATGTTTACAACCTTTCGGTTTCATATAAAGCCAATCGTAAATCATGGATGACATCTGATCTATTTGAAGAAAAGATTCGAAAGTAGGATAAAGAACTATCTGCCCAAAAAAGAAAAATTTTGCTGTTGATTGATAACTGCACAGCACATTTAGATGTTGAAAACCTGGAATGGATAAAGATTGTTTTCCTGTTACCAAACGCAACATCTATAGTACAGCCCATGGATCGAGGTGTAATTCGAAGTTTGAAATGCCATTTCCGAAAACAGCTGATTTTAAGGATTTTCGGAGACTATGAAAAAGGTGTTGATTGCAATGTTTCGATTCTGGAGGCCATACTAATGGTCGAAAAATCTTGGAGACTTGTTACAGAAACCATTCATAATTGTTTTCGTCAAGCTGGTTTGTCAAAGAGTGTCACTGAAGAAAATGACGATTTGACTTTAGTGAAATGGATTGAAACATTTTTAGAATTTGATATGGACCATTTCAAAACGTGCAATAATGAAGTCGTTACATCTGAAGATCTCGCAGACGAGGACATTGTTGAGGTAATAAGGTTAAAAAATTGTGAAGTTAAAGACTGCTCATCTGATACAGATGAAGAAATTGAAAAAACGGAAAGCAGCCTCCCCACCGTGATGGATGCCAAAGCAGCAATTAAAGCACTAAACAAGTTCTTGTGTACACAAAATATAGAGCCGAAAGTGATGCAAACATTTCGATTCCTTGACAGAAGTATGGACAAATTTTTCCTTGAATCAGCTTCTCATCAACTTAAGATTACTAATTTTTTTTGTACTCAAGACAGAGAGTAATAAAAAATCAAAGTAAGTTAGCACATTTTTTGTTACTACATATTATTTTTCAGTCATTTTTGTATTTCATTTTATTGGTCATTTATGTGTAATAAAAGGGAGGAGTTAAGAACCATTTGTTAAAATTGTTGAAATTTGTTAATATTATTATTCAGTTATTTTTGTATTTCATTTTATTGGTCATTTATTAAAATAATGTGCAATAAAAGGGAGGAGTTAAGAACCCTTTGTTAAAATTTGTTAATATTGTTTTTCAGTCATTTTTGTATTTTATTTTATTGGTCATTTATTAAAATGTGCAATAAAAGGGAGGAGTTAAGAACCATTTGCTAAAATTGTTTGCGGAACGGATATAGTGAACTCCCGATCATAGTGAACCAAAATTTCGGTCCCTTGAAGATTCACTATAGCGGGGTTTGACTGTATTTCATTACAAAGAATAAAAATAAAAAAATGAATATACTTGCTCTATGATCTTTCTGACATGTTCAAAACCGCCCTTCTTTTTCATAAAAAACACTCCAAAGATTAGGAAGCAACAGAAGCAGACAGCAAAAAAACCGCCAACAATTCCTCCAATTGAACCAGACGTTGAAGGTTTAGCTAAGAGGGAAAGATGAGATTATGCTTTAAATAACTTTCTACATTGAATATGCTAAAAGAAATACACTTAAATATGTAAATTAAATTAATGCAACAATAAAATTAATCCTCGGGAGGCCATTTAGTGAAACTGAATTAGTTTGTAGTGCATCTACCACTACAAAAATACAATTCCGATTCTCTAATATATAAGAGATGTTAACTCGACTCTGTGGTGAGGTACCTTTTCATTGATGAAGGTTGATATTGTCAATAACAACTCCCACCACATTAGTGACCTTCGGACATAATACGAACATGCCTGCCTTGAAAGAAACTCCCACTTCGATTTGAACATGCCAACTTCAATGGATGGGCCACATTAAACAGTTGACTTGCTACTTGCAACAATGAGATTATCCACCTCCTCGCGTTGTTGCTACTCAGTCTCGATCACACACAACGTACGACGTATTCACTCGTATGCTAAAGGCAACACAGGCACAATCACAACCATGAACTTAATACAGCTCTCACGAACAACACTCAAAAGTACGGTGATCTTAATACAGCTCTCTCGGCTTCTCACAAAACAGCAATGAATCAACTAGTGGTATCGATGTGGGGACATTAATTTTCGAAAATATCGACCTTCTTCTATGAAAAGGTACCCCAACATAGTTGAGTTAACATGTCTTATACAATAGTATATTAAGAAATTGGAATTTTATTTTTGTAGTGGTAGATACACAACAAGTTTATATGGTTAAAAAGAAATTTTATTGTATAAAAAATTGAATAAATCCAGAGTTATATCACTTTCAAATAAATAATGGAACGTAACTTCTGAGTTTATAAGAACTGAGCATGTTTTTGATCAAAAATGACTCCAGATTAGTTTTGAACTTAGATATGATCTATCATGTTTTGTTTTTTAATGTTCAGACAAAAAAAAATTTTTTTTTTTTTTAAGAGAAAAGTTTGTTTTTAGTTAAGATATTCATGCTTTACTATTTGAGAAGTTGTATATTTAGTTTCAAAATAAAATTATAAAATAATTCATCCAGTATTTTTGTTAGTTATGACATTATAGTTTTTTTTGAGGATCTACTTACTAAGAGTCAGAATTCTTCTCAAAAATTTCTATTCTGTAAATTTTGAGATTAGAAATATTTTTACATCAAAAAATAAATAAATAAAAGTAATTTCTCTTACAATTGTAATAAAATAATGCACAAAGAAATAACCTCCTAAAATAAAAGTGTTAATCAAAGTTATTAAAAAAATATAAAGCTTTTCATCAGAACAACACTGAATTAAAAAATATATATAAAGCTATTGGCGTAAAAAATCTATTTAAGTAGCTACATGAAGTACTTATTATTAATTGAACATGAATGAATTGAATGAGAATGAACATGAAATATGAGAAAATAAATCCTTATTAATAAAAAGAATATTATTAAATAAAGAAAAGAAATATTCTTTATGAAAACATTTATAATTTAAATAAAATACAAAGCCTGTTTTTCTTCTCAAAGATTAATAATATTTTATTTCTCTCTCAGAAGTTTCTTTTCCTTTAACTGTTCTTATCTTTTCAATAATCCCTTAAGACTGCTTATTAAAGCAGTGTACATGTTTAATTATTTTTAATGTAGCAACAAGATGTAAATTTTTTTTGTACATTAAATTTTGGAACAGGTCACAACAAAGAAAAAAATGAGAGATTTGTTTATTTTGATTGTTAAAGAGTTTTCTACCTCTAGTAAACAGACCTGCGTATCTAGAACTTGCAATATAATACTACTCTAGATTCTTTTAAAAATTATCTATTATGAAAAAAAGGATTATGTATTAATTTATGAAATATTCATTACACAAAACATTGAGTTATAAAAACATAGCTGTTTCATGGTTATGCTATACTTGCTTTTGTAACCATAAAACTAAGCTAAGTTATTTTAAAATGGCACAGATAGATAAACATTTAAAAAAAATTGATTTAGAAATTAAAAGTAACATTAAAAGAAACTCCTTTTAGAAACTTCATAAAAATACAACATATTAGCAATTAAAATTCATTGCTTATTATAATAACTATAGGACAGTTCTATCATTTTATGAATGTCATATATGTAGATTTTAAAAACGTATAACTCAGTTAAAAATATTAAAGTAGTTTTAATAAATTTTGCTAAAGTAAGTCTTGATGTCGTAAACAGGGCGCATAGCCAAATCATTCATGAAAAAATAAGCACCTTTTGAGTACTTTTTAAGCACTAAAAAAATATTTTTAGGCACTATATACATTAACAAAATGCAAAATAATTTTTAAAAACTCTACATGATCATGTTAAAATAATGAGTTTCTGACAAGGAACTCTTTTCATGTTTATATTAGCTATTAAAATATGATCAAGAGAGTTTTTTGTTCTATTTCAGAGGGTGGAAAATGAAGCCTGAAATTGAGAGTATCTTGCAAAATGTAGCAGAGTTGCCTGAGAGCACTGACCGTAAAGACACAGTTCCCAGTGGAACGTTAAAGTCGAGCATAACTGGCTACAATCAGTAAGCGAGCGACCACTTTGATCAGCCTACGTAGGGACCGAGGTATCGGTCCTCGCTAATTTGTCCTGCCATAAAGTGTTCGACTTTGCACGCAGGGCATCGAGCTACCAAAGCATGGGAGCCATCTCCCACTGCAGAGGATCAAAATTGCGATGGCATGTCTTCGGATCATCCTGAAGGACGTTTCCCAGACCATTGACAATAGTTCATTGTCCAGCTCTAGTGCAACATAAACGAAGTACCTACCTACTTTTTCATTTTTTATCAATTTTAAACTTTAAAAAAATGTCAGAATTTTGCAGTTCAAAATACATATATTTTTTGGAGAAAATTAATAATAGTTATAAATAAAAATATTTGTTAGTAAATAATTTTATAGAGGACTAATTTATGAAAAATTTATAACGCAAGCATTACTAATAACCTATTTCTATTTTTTAAGTATATGGTGATACATATTCCAATATACATGTACAAATGTACCTGAGGGGAATTAATTATAGACTATGTCAACCTTCATCTATCAAAAGGTACCTCATGATAGAATCAAGTTAACATGTCTTTATATACTAGTGAATTGGTATTTAATATTTATAGTGGTAGTTACGCCACATACCTATACCAAAATAATTGGCAAGGTTTTGCTTTATCAAAAAACTGGCCTAACAAAGCTTTGCAAAAAGTGGACATATCAAAGGGTATAACTCTCAGCCAGCCTCAAGCAAACCTTTACATGTTTTTTTTCTTCTTTAAAATTTCTTGTTTAAAAAAAACTTCTCGCTAGTAATTGGAGTGGCAGATCACGATACGGAAATATCCCCCGCACAGGTACTGTTACGGAAATTGTCTCATTGCACTAGAATCAGAAATATATATACGACTTTTAAAAATTTAAAAAAAAACTATAAGTACAACAAACTCTAGAATAATGCATCTAAAACTGGGAAACAAACAAAAAATTGCTTACCAAACAGTTTAAAAATTTTAGAATAAATATTTAACAATGCTTTTAATCTTAAACAGCGTCTAAAGTTCATTTTTGCTTAAAGAATTTATAAAGAAAATTTATTTTTTTTAAAACAAAACAGTGCGAATTTGAAGCACACGCTTTTAAAAACAACTAAATATTTCAAATAAATATACGAATCATGGAATAAAATAAATTAAAGTTAGTTGTTTGGTCATCCTACCTAACGTAAATGTTATCTCTTTCTAGACTTTAAAAGCTCAAAAAAGTCAAATAAATGTGAAAAATACTTTTTATCGAGCATTGCAGTAAATTTTTACAACTTAGTTGTGTTTACGGCCATTTTTATTACTCCTTAGTAGTGTGAATTAATAGTTTTCTGGCGGATGACAAAATCCAATTAAAATTCTACCACTAGTTTGATTGTTTGTTTACATTTATCCTTCATATTTCCGAATATCTACTTCTTCTAAAAAGCACAAATCAAAATTCGCAAAATGTAAGTCTCTATTGATACATTTATATTGCTAGCAATAATAATTGGATACTTGCACTTTAAGAAGAAAAAAACAACCAATACCCACGCATGTGACCAGTGACGTCAGCATCAGCTAATCTTTATCAGCAATATGGGAGTATTAAAGTTTAGCTAATTTTATCAACATAACTCAAAATGTTAATTAACATTAAGTTAATTAACGTTAAGTTAATTAAATTCAAAGTTGTATTTAATATATTCGGATTCGTTTTCAATATATATGTAAACAACAATCTATAGCTCTTGACCTGCTCTACTTACGGTTGGAAAGTATAGGAGAGGCGATATTTTCAAACAGATAATCTTGTTTTCAATAAAAGAAATAAACTATATTATTTCTGAGATAAAATTTGCTGTATTTGATAAAAAATATTAACGATACTAATTAGTAATTCTGGTAAGTTTGAAGTAAAAATTTATTTTAGTTATGTAGAGATTCAAAATTCGGATGTGTCATGAAGGCAACGAATCCTCCACGGCAAAACTACCTCCGATGGTGGTATGATTCCAGTGAATTTATCCTGGATTTTGTATGATTGTGTAAAGGACGTCCATCGGTACCTATGCAGATTATGGCTTAGGAATGACGGCTTACAGACATCCACTAGACGATTTTGTGTTAGATGGGTCGTTTCTACCCGTAGATCTAATTTCTGCAGAAAAAAGAATATTTGACATAAAATACAAAAATATTTTCTTCATCTACTACGATGATCATGATGTACGCATGCCTTCTTTTCTTTTATTATTTATTTGTCTCAAACTTAGTTTACTTTACAATACTTAGTAAACGTAGTAACGTTTGCTTGTCGGCGAGTTTTTATGGCGAAACCAGTGGCATAATTTTTTTATATTAAATGATAACATCCTTTATATAGCTAGGTACTTTATTAACGTCGTACTGGAGCTGCGCAATGGGTTATTGGCGACGGTATGGGAAGCATCGCTGAGGATGATCCGAAGACATGCCATCGGAACTCTGATTCTTTGTAGAGGGGATGGCGCCCCTGTTTCGGTAGCCCGACGACCTGAGCGCGAAGTCAAGTACTTTACTATAGAACAGTTTAACGAGGACCAATGCCGCACACTCTCGGTCCCTACGCAGGCTGATCAAAGTGGTCACCCACCCGCTTACTGATCGCAGCCACTGGCTGCCAGCCAGTGATGCTACTAGTAACCGTGTCTTTACGACCAGTCCACTTTGGGACCCATGTCCTTCATGTAACTGAGAAAAAACGATGCTTACACGTTCTTGCAGTTAATGGACCAGCTTCTGAGTATCCTCCTCTTGTAAAAGCCCTCAGTTTAATCCTGCGTGTTAAATTAAAATTATCAATCACCATTATAGTATAGCAATTTAAAAGAACAATAAATAAATAAATGAAATAAATAAAAACACTGCATGAGAATTATCGTAAGGCATGATTCTACACCTGAGTACATTCTGATCTTCTGTTTTTAAAAATCTATTCCTCGTAAAATATATTTTTCGTTTTAAAATGTGATTATCGTGTAAAAAATGATTAAAATGGTAAAAATATATCAAAAAAAGGAAAAATTGTGATCACTTTCTTACTATCACTGGTTACCGATTGGAAAAATGATTTTTTTTTCTGGATTGATTCCGATAAACGACACAACATTTCAAAATCAAGAGAGTAGTTATAAGTTAATAATATAAAAGGAATATAAAACTACTTAAAATTATTATTATGCAAATGCATTAAAGATGCCTGCTGGTGAAAATAAAAATAAAAACTGTAACCTTTGGGACCGTGTCAATCAGTTTAAGACCCTATTTATTTGTGATATTCACTTGAATTAGTATTGAAAACGATCCAGTTTGAACTGTAGGATAGAATTTCCGATTCTTAATTAAAACAGTAAAAACAAAAATATCGTTCGAATGATAAAATTCTCTCAACTCACAAGAAGTATTTATGGGATCTCTGTTATCCCATATCTCAAAAATAAACTCACCAACTTAATGCATAACAAAATTAAAAGTGAAAAAAAGAATTCTAAGAAAATTATCAAACAGCAGCGGTCGCCACTGCAACACATGCAATGACGACGCATGCGCACTGTTTACTATTACTCGTGAGCACAGTTGAAAAGTGTGACAGCGTCCAAATAAAGTGCGCGCCATCAAACCAAACACAAGATCCATTTTGCTAATGGGTAATAAACAAAGCAATATGAAAAAAAATGAAGAAGAAACAAACAATATTCGTTACTTTCGCGGATCGCAATGAAAGAATTAATGGGTAAAAAAATGCTAAACGTCACATTAGTCGCAAAATAAAAATTCAATGAAGGAAAAGAAAATCGTTAAAAACGAGCTTTTGATTATTTCTGCAACCGGAAAGAGTTTCCCGTTTTAAACTTGACAATAATAATTTTTTTCTAACTTTGATGAAAGCCCACACTGAGACTAACCAGAGGTATATGGAAGAGAAATTCCTATACTTGTGTTAGGACGCGTTTAGGAGATGCTTGTCGCATGTGTTCCGTTCATACCCTCAGTGTACCTTAATCTATTTGAAAAGCATTGTGTAGTGTATCTACCACTACAAAAATATAATTTCAATTTACTCGTATGCATACCCTCCAACTTATGAGGATTTTGAAAATAATTCTTTCTTGTNTACAAAAATATAATTTCAATTTACTCGTATGTAATATTAAGACATGTTAACTCTGTTCCTCAACATAGATGATGTTGACATTGTCGATAACTCTTCTCCCAACATTGGCGACCCGGAGGTGATGTGAACACGCCTACCTTGACAGATACTCCCACATCGATTTGAACACGCCACCTAAGACGGATGGTTCACATTGAACAGTTGACTTGTTACTTGTGACTCGACATTGTCCTCCTCCCGCTGCTGCTTTTCTGTCTCGATCACGTACAACGTTTACACTCGACTGTTAAAGGCAACACCGGAGCGACCACGACCGTGAACTTAATACATCTCTCACAATCAGTACTCAAAAAAGTACGGTGATCTAAATACAACTCTCCCGGCTTCTCACAGAACAGCAATGAATCAACTAGTGGTACCCGCTCATCGAATTCTATCACAGATATAATTCTGGTGGGGAGTACTGTAGTGTATCTACCACTACAAAAATATAATTTCAATTTACTCGTATGCATACCCTCCAACTTATGAGGATTTTGAAAATAATTCTTTCTAGTGGTAGCGAACCAAAGTAGAAATTTTTAAAGCAAATGGATCTCTCATAAAACTTTTATCAGAACTTAAGAATCTAGCCATATGGCCTGCACTTTCATAAGTAATAGTGGACAAGTTACGCTAAAATTAATTTTTTTCAAATATTAAGACATTAATTTTGCTACCGTCTGAAAAGAAGATTTCTGAAACTACGGAAATTCCGTAGCAGTTGGAGGATATGCTCGTATGTAATTGTAAGACATGTTAACTCTGTTCCTCAACATAGATGATGTTGACATTGTCGATAACTCTTCTCCCAACATTGGCGACCCGGAGGTGATGTGAACATGCCTACCTTGACTGATACTCCCACATCGATTTGAACACGCCACCTAAGATGGATGGCTCACATTGAACAGTTGACTTGTTACTTGTGACTCGACATTGTCCCCCTCCCGCTGCTGCTTCTCTGTCTCGATCACGTACAATGTTTACACTCGACTGTTAAAGGCAACACCGGAGCGAGCACGACCGTGAACTTAATACAGCTCTAACAATCAGCACTCAAAAAGTACGGTGATCTAAATACAGCTCTCCCGGCCTCTCACAGAACAGCAATGAATCAACTAGTGGTACCCGTTCAACAAATTCTATCACAGATTTAATTCTGGTGGGGAGTACTGTAGTGTGTCAACCATTACAAAAATACAATTCCAATTCACTAGTATATAAGACATGTTAACTCGATTCGATGGTGGGGTACCTTAACATAGATTAAAGGCGACATTGCCGATGTGACTCTCCCCACATATTGTTTTTAAAATTTTACTTTATTAAATTATTTCATTTAATTATTATTTAAAAAATGAGCAGTACTTCCAAATTTGGGAACTATCCCTTAAACAAATATATTCCTTGCTCAGATAGAAAATGTAATATAAAAAAAGTAATTTGATTAGTTTTCATTTAGATCTTTTTATTTAGTCTGTTAAGAAACTTGGTGGCTCATGGAATAGACCACTCGCCTCCTAATGACGTAACACGGATTCCAATCCCTGCGATAGCTGTTTGAAATGAATTCAGCATCTGTCTCGCACCGACCACATTGCTGACGTGAAATGTCCTTATTAGTAGGCAGATCACGGGTCCCCTTGTCTTCAGACTAAGTTTTAGACTAAGCTTTAACACAGCAGTAAATAAAATAGAAATAATTTACCTTTTGTAGGGTGGCCCGGCATCACCTGATCCACGGACCGGTCCTGGAAACACTCCAACGGGAGAGTGTTTCCTGAATTGTCTCATTAGACATATTTAATTATAAAATCAATACTACAAATATTTGCAAAAAATTGCAATGAAAATTCAATTAAATCGTTGAAATTTATTAAATTTCAATTCGTTACATAAACATTCTTAAAGAAAAAAGCATTTGCATTTTTTTAAGACTAAAAATTTCATTGACGCCATCTGGGGAGAAGACCGGTTCCATGTCTTAACCCTCCCTCCTTTCCCTCTACACCTTTTCTCAGCTGTATAGGAATGTACTACGATATTTTCCTTTTTATTAATATTTTCTGTGTTTAATTCTCACAAATATTTTTTTAAATTTACACAACGCTTTCTTTTAAAACTTTGTTTAATGTAGTTTTGAGTTTCATATAGTTTCCTTGCTTGAAAATTTTTAATCTATTTGAAAATCAAGAAAGAAACTGACGTACTTCCTTCTCTGATGGCTCTCCATCCGCTACTGGTGAAAGCAGGTGTAGTGTTGCCCTAGGTAGAGGGTAGTGCTTTACGCCACATTTCGATTGCGAATCATAACACATTCCAAAATATACGTCACAAGTTTCCTAATATCCCTTCAAAACCGTTTTTTTTTATTCTAATGTCTTCCTGAAACATTCGTAATGAGTCAGAAAATAGACCTATATCTTGCATTAAGACAACTGCAGTTGGGGACATCTTAAACATCAGAATACAATCGTCAAGCAGTTTACACCGAATTTCATCTGGAAGTCACAAAATCTTAAAGATGGCAACTTAAGGATATGTCGTAAAAAAATTACTGTGTGGTACGAAATGAACCGCTACTTACATATAAGGAGTGTCAGGTTTGAGTGGAGCATTGCAATAACTCCTGTTCGTCGCGCAATTGCTTTCAAGTCCCAGAGTGCATTGCAAAATCACGTGATGAGCATCTTCATCTTGCGGCCTGCATTTCAACGGATCTTCTTCTTCATCGTCATCTGAAAGTTGAAAAAATAAACTAACATACACATTATTTGTTATAATAATTAACAGGAGACCTGATATTATTTTATAATTTAATTTTATAATATTATTTTATAACAATCTTTGAACAGCTGACCCGATTTTTGGGTTGATGTTGTTACTTATCTCCAAAGGTCTGACGGCGTCAGACCAGATCCATAAGATTTTTATTTTATTTTATAACCGTCGTTGAACAGCCGACCCAATTTCATGGGTTTACGACTACTTACGTTCAACTCCGTAGCCTTGTAATTTTGAACCAATCCAGAAGACAAGGAAACTCCTGGATCAGTACCCCCAGAGGTATTGATTTAGATCCATAAGATTGAAATTCTTCGACCTACCTTATTTTTAGGGTATACGAGGGAAGTCCGGTCCGCCACCGAGGGCAGATCCGGTCAGAAAGGGGGCGCAGGCTGGTTTTGTGCCGGCCGAGGAACCCGGCATAGCCTCACCGTGGCATTTATTAAAACCAAGATAATTACAGTTTTCAAGGCAACAACCCGACTGATATGAGACTGACAACAGGAAGAATATTAATACAATAAGTTTTGCACACAAATTACATATCTTCTTGTGCTATTGTAGTTGTGCTTTAGCCAGCTAATAATATTAAAATAATTCAAAGTCCCACATACAAAGTATTTCCCTAATACATGAGATAATGACTAACATATTTAAAAGAAACAAGAATAAATTTTTAAAATATAAAAATATAGAGGAAACACTCGCGATCAATTCGAAGAGACAATTAAGAGTGATTGACAAAAGTTATTAAAAAAGGCCAAAAGATCCTTATAGAGGCTTAAAATCAAAAAAGAGATCGACTGACCCTTATAAAATAGCATTAATTGGGTGCTTAAAAATACAAAGTCAAGAATTAATTAAAAACAACACTAAAAATATAAATAACCAGAAAAGCAGTAAAAGTACATTAACTGACAAAATTATAAAGGTAAAAATAAAAGCAGTCAAGATAAAAAAGATAGTTAAAATCGCTTAGAGTTAAAATTTGGGAAAATAACCCAAACAACCCTAAAACATCAAAATATTAAAAGTGAAAATTTAAAAAGCGATTCAAAGATAAACATGTAAAATTTACAACAGAGCAAAAAAGGATTGAAAGAGTACCTTAATAGACCAGAAACATAGACCAGATCCATAAATCCGTTGACGAGTAAGAAGTCGGAAATAAGGGGGGGGGGAAAGAATTTTCAGATTTACAACTATTAATGTTCAACTATGTAACCTTGTAATTTTGAACCCAATCCAGAAGACAAGGGAACTCCTGAATAAAGTATTAGAAGAAATTTGCCTTCGTGAAGGGATTTTTGATAGAACTAACCCGCATTTGCGTTACATGGAGAGGAAGACCACAAGAACCTCCCACGGTTAGCCGGACGACAAGGGGACGCTAACCTATCATCCTTCTACCACTGAGGATATTTCACATCAGCACTGTGGTCGGTGCAAGCTGGTTGCGGAATTTGTATCGATTGGGATTCGAACCCGGTTCACCTCATTGGAAGGCGACCGCTCTACCCTAAAGAAATGAATATTTTGGATTGTAAAAAACTATTTTATTCTGATCTCTTGCTATCAGAATCCTCGTTATTATTTCATTTTTCAATTTTCTATTTGCGCTGTACCGGTTGAAATGTTAAAATAAATTATTTTTTATTCTATTAAAATATATTTTAACATTCTATTCTAGGATTTTACCTATTAGGACGTGAGAAATGGAGGCACAAGCAAATAGAATTCTTTGTAGTACATATATTATGTTAAATGAATGATTTCAACTTAAGTAAAAAATTTTTTAAAAAACTGTTCGAAACAACACTTATTGCGAAGGGGGTAGGTGAGCTGCAGCGAACAGGGTGCTTAGCACCTTAGTAATACTTTTTTTAGGCTACTTTATACGCAATCGAAAGTGAACGATATCGATGTTCAACTCATGGAAATCAAATATTTCTTAACAAAGCTTGTTTTCAATTACAATAATCGAATTCTAATGAATCACTTTACTTTTGAGAAAGGGATTCCATCCTGCTGGTGTAGCCTGATAGAATTTACTCAGTCCTGATGAATAATTTGTCCAAAGTGGAACCTCATCTGCTATTTTACCGCTGGAAGGTGGACCTAGAAATCAAACAATTCGAAATTAGCTTGCTGTATTTTAGAGCAACAATAATAACATTTTTAAATATACTTTTTTTAAAAAATCNCATAGACCAGATCCATAAATCCGTTGACGAGTAAGAAGTCGGAAATAAGGGGGGGGGAGAAGAATTTTCAGATTTACAACTATTAATGTTCAACTATGTAGCCTTGTAATTTTGAACCCAATCCAGAAGACAAGGGAGCTCCTGAATAAAGTATTAGAAGAAATTTGCCTTCGTGAAGGGATTTTTGATAGAACTAACCCGCATTTGCGTTACATGGAGAGGAAGACCACAAGAACCTCCCACGGTTAGCCGGACGACAAGGGGACGCTAACCTATCATCCTTCTACCACTGAGGATATTTCACATCAGCACTGTGGTCGGTGCAAGCCGGTTGCGGAATTTGTATCGATTGGGATTCGAACCCGGTTCACCTCATTGGAAGGCGACCGCTCTACCCTAAAGAAATGAATATTTTGGATTGTAAAAAACTATTTTATTCTGATCTCTTGCTATTAGAATTCTCGTTATTATTTCATTTATTGCAGCTATTATTTCAATTTTCTTTTTGTGCGGTACCGGTTGAAATGTTAAAGTAAGTTATTTTTTATTCTATTAAAATATATTTTAATAATTTTGTAATAATTTTAACAGTTTTTTTTTTAATAATTAGAGAGCAACGTTGATCCCAGTAATAATCTCAAACTTGGCGTGATTTCAAAAAGTCGCTAAGAAGTGGGCTATTCTAGGATTTTACCTATTAGTACGTGAGAAATGGAGGCACAAGCAAATAGAATTCTTTGTAGTACATATATTATGTTAAATGAATGATTTCAACTTATGTAAATAAAATTTAAAAAACTGTTAGAAACAACACTTATTGCGAAGGGGGTAGGTGAGCTGCAGCGAACAGGGTGCTTAGCACCCTAGTAATACACTTTTTTTTAGGCTACTTTATACGCAAGTGAAAGTGAACGATATCGATGTTCAACTCATGGAAAACAAATATTTCTTAAACAAAGCTTGTTTTCAATTATAATCGAATTCTAATGAATCACTTTACTTTTGAGAAAGGGATTCCATCCTGCTGGTGTAGCCTGATAGAATTTACTCAGTCCTGATGAATAATTTGTCCAAAGTGGAACCTCATCTGCTATTTTACCGCTGGAAGGTGGACCTAGAAATCAAACAATTCGAAATTAGCTTGCTGTATTTTAGAGCAACAATAATAACATTTTTAAATATACTTTTTTCTTAAATCTTTTTCAAATTTTAAACTTCTGCATAATTAAATTGAAATGTCTCAAATTTTTTTTTTAAATAACAGTCGTTGAACAACCGATCCAATTTTTGGGTTTACGATTACTAATGTTCAATCCCGTAGCTATGTCATTTTGAACCCAATCCAGAAGACAAGGGTACTCCTGGATCAAGTATAGGGAGAAATTTGCCTACGTGGAGGATTTTCTGACGGAACTAACACGCATTTGCGTTGCATGAAGAGGAAGATTACGAGAACCTCCCAAGGTTAGCGGGACGGCAAAGGTACTCTAACGCATGATCCTTATACCACTGAGGATATTTCACGTCAGCACTGTGGTCGGTGCTAGCCGGATGCGTGTCGACCAGTCGTCGCTGAGATTGGAACACGGTTCACCTCATTGGAAGGCGAAAGATTTATCTTCTGAGCCATCGCGGCTCAAGTTTCTAAACTTGTAAAACATCAGAATTGGGTACTTGCACTTCAGGAAGAAGATCTCCCATACCCCCACATGTATCCTATGATGTCAGCGCTACCTAACATTTTCCAGTCAAATAGCGTATTAAAGTTGAGCTAACCTTCTGTACATAAGTTGGAATGTTAATTAACGGTAAGTTAGTCAGATACAGAGCAGCATCCAATTATATTATAATAATATTGAATGGCTCGGAAATAGCTTCAGAAAATCTTTCGGAAGTAATAACCCGGAAGTCTTAATGCGAATTTTCTAGCGCTGTTTATGTTTGCCGCTGTCTATGCTTAACTTTAAATGGTCAACCATCCATATGTGTGTAAGTGTTACATGATTTCCTCACCCTCCATACTTTCCCCTTCTCCATCGCTACGGTCGTGGCAAATCTCGCTTTTTCTTTCTTTTTTTTTGGAAAGTGGAATATTCTGTCCCGGGGAAAAAACAAGGTTTGCTGAAAAATTAGCGACAGACAAGAGGAAAGTGAGAAAACCGTGTAACCTTGAGACGTTTATTCCATCTACTAGGAATAAAGTAATGTATTAATGACATTCGAAATAAAGCTTTTATATTCGAAATAAAGCTTTTATATTAATTACAGTAACTAAAATTTTCATCTTTGCAAAATTCTATCCTTACATTTCCTATAACTTGCATACTGGTGTAAGAAATTATGAGAATTTGCAGACGTGGTCGATTATCTCAGGAGCTACTGGACCAATTTTAATGAAATTTGATGAATGTACATACATTGATACAATACAAAATAAATAACCATTCAACAATTGTAATACACACACATGATCATGCGTGTAACACTCATTGGAGTTAGAGCCCCTGAATTAGTATAGGAGCCTTATTTGGAGTCGGAAGGTATGAAATGGCCACAGGACAATTCAGGATAATTGCCAGAGGAAATGATAAACTGCCTTATTTCAAGTATGAAATCATGCTGCAAAGCCTGTAAGAGGGGACCCTGCCCCCTAATAAAACATTTTTTTTCGTTTATTCTGCAACCACTGTTTCATACCTTCCGACTCCAAAGAGTGTTACTCATGATCATGCATGTGTATTACAATTGTGTAATGCAGGGGTGTCAAACTCAGAAGCAAATTTGGGCCAAATAAACAATGGTTAACTTTAGGTGGGCCTCAAAAAAAAGTTAAAAAACTAATCAGTGTTTACAGAAACAAATATTTTTATTTTGAATAGTACATTGTAATAAGCATATATAAAATAAAATTATTGTTTGACATCTCTTCTCTGCTACTATCTTTCCTATTTCGGGAGAAATTTTATTGGCCGAGACTACTTTCAAAATTGACCCAACGAGAGCTATTAATATGGTTTCGGACAGGAGAGAGTTGTTTTCAAAAAAAATTGCTCGCACTGATAAGTACTTCCAAACATGGAAATAATTTCATACGCGAATTTCGAGTATTTTCAAACCTTGCCTGTAAATGTTTGTAAAATTCAAGCACACCCACTTCAATGAATTTTGTCTTCAAATTTGAGTCGCACTGAATCTCAATCACTTCCATTTGCATATTACTGGGTACTGAGTCTATATTTATTGAGAAAATCGAAGAAAACAAACAAAATTTGTCTTCCAAAGAATTAAAATCTTTAAACCTTGTTTCAAATTCTGTTCTAAGATTTGAAATTTTTTCTGCGTATTTTTGATAAGATGCGGTATTCCTGGAATGGCAGGTGCCGCAAGCCAATTAGAATTTTACAATTTCGCGCGTACAATTTAAAATGATCCGTTTAGTTTATAAATAAAGTATATTATAATTTAATATGCTAGTTTCCTTTCTAATTCAAGTTTCTATTTTATTTTTACTTTGCGTTGGCCGCAAAAATGTTCATCTCGGGCGGCTAGTTTGACACCCCTGGTGTAATGGTTATCTGTATTGCATTGCATCAATGTAAGTACATGTAAGAGTTGAATAAAAAGTATTTGGTGCGTAATAAAGTAAAGTAAAGTTATTTGTGTAATTGTAATTAATAGATTGGAATATTTGGTATATGTACTAGTAATTGGATATAGTCATGATTAAAAAATTAGTTAAATGATTGAAACGTCGTGATAAAAATAATTAAGGTCGAAATATATGAAAGGGTAATTAAATTGAATTAAGGGGGGAATGTGATCGTTAAGGAAAGTGGTAGTACAATGCTAATGTGGGATAACAATAACCCAATAGGTCCAAAGGGTCACAAAGTGTGAGGTTTGAACAAATTGGATGATTTGGTATCACCAAATTTAGAATAAGGGTGAAAACTAAGACAATTAAAGATTAATGATAAATACGATAAAGTCATGCTATATCCAAACAATATATATGATTTAAACAGTAAGCTGATGTCTCCAATAAGAAAAACTAATAAATTCACATTTATGCATGCCCATAACAAATAAAAAAAGGTACTCACCACATACAGAAGGAAAAAAGGTGATAACTAATAGCTATAAAGGTAAAGCTAAAAAAACAATCACACAAAACTTTCTGTTCAACTAAACATTTATTTTTGTAAAACT